TGCTTTCGTCGTCGACACGCTTCGACGACTTTTGTTTAGTTTGTGACTGTAGAGTGCCAGAGATTCGCTTGTCGAAGAACAACACGGTCAATAAAATAACGGCAATTTTACCTGCGACTGATGTTCTCAGTTCACGGGGAAAATCTTTAAAATAACCSCAACGCATTCGTTCCGCGCACCTATTTTGCATGACTCAAAACATACGTACGTACGGTATGGTATCACACATATTTTGATACGATACGGTACGTACGGTACGTATGATACTCAATAACACTCATTATCCGATCTCGAACGATCATTGGATCGATTYTTTGCAACGCGTCAAAAATACCCATGGTACAGGTACGATGGACAGGGAAAAACTACGAGAGCAAACCTACGATATTGTACGGCATATCAAGATGCATGCTTGACGTTTGACAAGGTGACTCAATAACGACAATTACCGTACCAGGTACTGTCGTCTCCTACGCTACGGTACAGAATCTTCGTACGGTATGATACCTCTAGTTGGAATTTTTCGATGAAACGTGCCGCAAAATACGAGTACCGTACTGGATCAGAAAGGAMCCAGGACACATCTAGCAAACTAATTGCATCGTCTCTACACACACCGTGCAAGCAAGATACGAAGATACGCAAGAAACTAATCGCCAACCCGGYTGTCGTTTGAATACAGATCGATAGTAACGAGTTCAATTCTGTCGTGTTTGAATTTCTTTTGCCTTCATAACAGCTAGCTTAAAGTAAGTTGTGTGCGTTACCTGTACGGTAGCAGAACACGATCTTCTGCGAACCCAACCGAGATAGAGACCAAAGTATATTAAATGCAACGAAGTGAGAAAAACTCATTGGGATGACATGGTATTGGCTGTCGGATAACGATGAACAGTACCGTATTCGTTGTTTGACTCAATTCCATCAATGGCACTTGCAATTAGCAGCATGAWAATTTTGAAATCGTGCTGTGCTTTGATGTCAAAGTTGACTCATCAAACAATCTTTTCGTCACTCGGAACTGCAACACTTTGAACACATTGTACCCCAAAACAGCAATATGATGTTTTTGAGTCCCCGTCCATCGTCACCAATCCAAAAATTGCTAGCGGTCCTCTGCYTCGTTTCCGTCTTCAAAGGAACACACGGATCCATGTCGCCGTCSCCGTCGAATCCCACGGTGTGCCCCAGCAAAACCTCTGGCTCGTCGTGCAACAGCGCGGGTAGCACTGGCRCCGTCTTTGGGGTTCCGGAAAAAAAACTTGCGAAAAACTCTGCTGCCTTCAATGCTGCTGCCGGTCTGCGTGGGGGGGAGTTGCWCGAGCCCAAGACGCTCGATGAGGTCAAATCTTTGCTCTTGARAGCTGGAAGCGCTGGACAATTAGTCGTGATCGACTTTACAGCAACGTACGTTTCTGGATCATTCATTTTGGCACTGATGCATCTCATCTTTGAGGACACAACAGCGGGCACCACACCAGAACCATCCCGAAGAGGTTCAACAATACGAAGTGCTTCCTAACACGTTATTTTTTGCTTTGTCTTTCAAATTATATTTTGCTCGTTTAATCTGATTCAAACGCAATTAAGCTGGTGTGGTCCGTGCCAAATGATTGCACCGTTGTTCAAGGAAATGAGCAGCACGCACGATGATGTGATGTTTCTCAAGGTAGACGTAGACGAAAATCCCGACACTGCTCAACAGTACAGCGTTAGCGCTATGCCAACTTTTGTAAGATCGTTTTGATTTTCCTTTGGATTCACCTCGTTCTCAATTTGATCAAGATTKTCTGTCCAAATATGTGTGCAAGTGCTTTTCGCTAGCGCTAGCGATGGTGTCGCCACGAGCTGCATGTATGATGTATCTAACGGACGTGTTTTCTTACCTTTTTTCCATGACATCTCACCAATGCAAAATTCCAACGRGTAGATCTTCATCAAGGGAGGTCTAGTTGTGGAACGACTCATGTAAGTTTATTCTACTGCTAATTCAAAAACTTTTTCACGTCGGGCAACCTCTCATTTCTAATGTCTTCGCTAAATGATTSTTTCAATCGTGTKTCTGCAATGCCACTTATTTCGCATGATCTTGGTTCGTACCTATGAAATGCCTGCTGYRTGGACAGGGGTGCGAATCCAAGCCATCTTGAATCTACTATTGYTCAGTTGAAGTAGACACAGCATCGGAGTRGTGAATACAATGAGTAGTACGACGAAACAATTATATWATAATGCATCTAGTTATGATGATACACAATTTTCAATTACCAGTAATTCCAGCTGCTGTGCACCCTTATTTGAGTTGAAAAATCAGGTAATCAAGTCCTTATTGAGCGAGGGCTGTCACTTTCCCCCTGCCAAATATCGTTTTGGTATCCAAAATCCTTCTCTCGAATGAATTCGTATCGTTTTCTAGATTCTTTGTCAGTGGCTTGAAAGCGGTAATTCCTGTTTGGCGCTCGCAATTGAAATATGAAAGTGAATCTCATCATAGAAACGCTTTGCATTTCACATCAATTAGTCGATCTTGAATCTTTGCAGCAGTGAAATCATTCGTTGGAACGCATATTAATAKCACAATCTGTTGAGACATCATGTCGCGACGCCGTCATGAACGAGGCCAAAAATATGCAATAGAGACGCCGATAATAGCGATAAAACCACCTGTAACGTCTCCGTTGTCAGGTCGGGCTCCGTCTAGTACCCAGCCAAAGAAGTAGCTCATTACAATGAAAACTCCACCATATACTGCATATATACGACCGAAGTTCGATGTCGGCTGAAAACACGGAATGAATCCATACAAGATTAAGAYGAAGCTTCCAAGGACCGCAAACCACCAGGGTTTCTTCTCATCTTTGCCGTTACCCCGGATGGACATCCTAGTATATTTTTGAAGGAGTGGATCCGGTTCAAATGTTAGCAATCTATCTAAAGGAAATGAAGAAAAGTTGCGTCGTGGAAACAATGAGATATGCTTACCAGACCATCCAGCCACCTAAAATTTCCGCCACTCCAGCTAGCAAAAATAATGCGATGCTTTGTGCGATAGTTGCAACCGTCCACTCGAAGGATATTTCATCATCGACATCGTCAATCACATCACCAGGTGCTGGCGTCATTTCTATTGCAATATCATCCGGCATGGCGATCTCAAGAAGAGATATGCCATGAGTCACACCATTTGGATACTTTTAATGAATTTCTTCCTCGCCGTTATCTTTTTGAGTATCTAGGTGATGTCATGCGATTTGTACCTTAAACCTTCACAGACGCCCATTTCTCGCATAATTATGAGATCTTTCGTTTGAATTTTGGGTGTTATCGATTACTAGTACGATGCTAACGTATGTAGTACCTGAATGACAATTCATACACAAGTTCAGGAAGGTCGATGTAGAAAGTTCCAAGATGCTCCTTCAGTCACTCTTTCATCTGGATTTCGATAGAATTAGCATTTCCTCCAGAACACCCCTAGAATCACTGAAACCACTAGAATCCTACATTGGAACATCATTTCTGTCAACAATAGAACATACATAACCCAATCTTCTTGTACCTGCTTGATCCACTATGGTGCTGAACACTAACTACTAGTAGTAGTACTACGTACTAGTACGTCACAGTGTGCACTACCACTACCACTGTAAAAAATACTATTGGCATTCATCCCATCTTGAAAGAATGTATATAATGTAAAAATTGCTTCGTGCTGTTAATGGAAACTAAAATGGTTAAAGAAGAGGTGCTCTCTGAGAACGAAGGGCCAAAAGCGCATTTAGTGTTTGTTGACGTTTCTGGTCAGTAAGTATTGCTGCTGCTTCTTGCTGCTGAAGCAACAAAGCTGATCTCTGTCGCCGCTCTGCAATTGCCAGCCGCAAAGCTTTGTCTTCTCTTTCACGCTCCAATCGATTCAGGAAAAGCTGCTGTTCAATCTGTTTTAATCTTAGTTTATCTTGAAGATTGAATAGTGCCCCATTCTTCAACGCAGTGGAAGTTTCGAGAGGATTTTGTAAGGTAGAAAGGATTTTCTTGACGCGGTTGTCGACAATGTCCATTCCATAGATATTTGGATTTGTGGCAACGATATTGCACTGATTTAAATGCGTAGCTATGAGCTGATTTTTCTCCTCCTCCTCCTCCAATTTACTTAGCATACGGAGCAAATTAGATGCTTCAGGGTGGTTGCATGGAGCGGGACTGGAGTGAATGAGGTTACTTAATCGAATGGAATCAATATCGTGTGGGACTGGTAGTTGTGTACTAACGCCACTCAAAGGATGACTGCTATGGGGCGAGTCTCGAGAAGCTGATCGTAACAAGCGGCTTCCAATAGCTTCTTTCAAAGAATGTTCAGAATGACTTAAATCTATCATACCAACATCTCTCAGTAGCTCTAAAGCATTTTGAGATGACAGTCTTTTTTCTTTTGGTCCACGCAAGAAGCTAGTGATTCCACTATCGCGTCGTTGAACACTCCCTCTAGTGAAATTTGCAATTTTATTTTTTTTGTGCAGAGCTGTGAGTAAATCAGAAGATGGTGACGTGCGGGTCATTTCCAAAGCTCTTTTCTGCCCCGCGACCGGGATGGCTGTAGCCCTATAAGGAGTATTGGAAGGCGACAACTTGGACAGATCTCGGAGAGAGTCGTTTCTTTCCTTCTCGAGTAGCAAAGAATGAAGGGCAGAGGCAGGCGCATTCATCATGTTTACTATCGCATCATTCCTTTCTAATTCCTTCTTTTTAGCAAGCATAACCTGCTCCTCTTTTATACGTAGGTGAATTTTGAGTATATCTGGAGTTAGTGGTAAACGACTTGCAGTTTTCATTGAATCGAGTCTTCTTTTAATKGGTACATCTTTTAAACATGCCATGGAACCAGCATCATCCGGTTTGATGGTCGTATTACCGCTTTTCGGTTTCGTGTTCCTGCTTGACATTTTGATGCACAGCGATTTTCGTCCACGCGCAAAGTTTGGATTTGAATATACCTTCCCATTTCCGGTATGCTCACAATCAAATGACCAGTTCTTCAGCTGCTTCTCGAAGGACTTGTAACTTGAATGATTAAATGTGCTCTGGATAATAGCGATAAGTTTTTGTTTCGTAGAAATTCCCAGGTAGGGTGAGGAGAGGGAAGGACAGAAAAAGATGCTGTGGTCAGAAGCAATTTCTAGGTCTCCTGTGGACCTTTAACGAAATTCAATCCTCAGTAATACTTACCTTGAGAATCTTTTTGCAGAAAATTTCGTGTTCACGGACACAAAATGACTTTCCACCAGGCGTCCAGCCAACAATGTTGTTCTAGAAATTAGGCACACACGTGCGCGGGGGAGGGGGAGAATAAAGATGGTATCAATTCAGAACTTGCAATAGAATTGCATTTTTATCCCATGTGCCGGGGACGAGGTAGTCGATGCACTTACCATACCGTTTCTTTCGGCATATTGCARCATGTCGTGTAGCTTAAACGGAAATTTCTTCGTTTGTGATAGAGGCAGGAACGCTAATGAAGACGAATTCGTTTCTGTCATGGTCACCAAATCGTCACAATTAGTGGTATTTTTCGAGAAGAAATTACGAGGTTAATGTAATGTGTGTCGAATGTGAAACCGACCGTAGATGATTGTGGTAGCGGCTAGGAAACATCACAACGAAATTTTTCATTCGTATTAGTAAACCAATACCGTGCACGGTACCATACAGAACGAGAGGAATTTTTTTGGTCCAAAAATTATGAAGTTCGATAGAAAATTATGTTGTACAGAGCTGCTTACCGCAATTATGTACCGGTAGAGAAAAAGATGAAATTTAAGAATTTACTGCCTTAGTGTAATCAATATGCCTACGTGTTCACAGAGAAATCCGAGATATTCAGTAAAGTACTTGGATTTAACAAAGGAAAAATTGATTTCTTTTAACATTTTAAATGAAGTGGAGTACTTGGGTACTGTACCCGGTACATTCAACAGCGGTTGATTTCAATCTACTTCTGAATTTCAAACGGAGGAAGGAAGGAAGGCAATACCGTACAGTAATGAGGTTGCTGATTTCGCATCGCAAATTTTTAAGCGGATTTTCCGGAACTCAAGTTGACGAAAGTTTTCAACTCACGTGGTCGACCGACCGAATCTCACGTGGTGATTACCAAAATGAGGTGTCACGAATTGAAACATCTATTGGTTCAGTTGAAGACGTTTCGAACGGTATTACTGTATTCAAAATGATGGAGAAGCTTCTTCTGAGTTCCATACGGATTCTGAAATATATTGATGATATTTTTTGTATTTCTCTACTGTCAATTTCTTTCAACGAAGTTCCAAATTTTACCTACGAAACAGTACAGCTACTGGAGCCGTAGGAAATAGAGGAACTATCGCGCGAATCATGCGCATAAAGAATAACTGACGTGCAACAAAATGCCATTACCAACTTTGATTGGCTAATTATATTTAACAGATGTCATGATGACATACTGAAAACATTTACTTAACAAAATTAATTCGAGAATAGATTGAGAATAGATCGAGAATAAATCGTGAATAGAATAGAAATAAAACGGAAATAAATTTCATCGTTTATTCTCGATCTATTCTCGATCTATTCTCGACGACAAGCTTTTTCAGCTTAGCAACTGGCTCCAGCAGCAGCAAAAAGCAAGAGCTTACAGCAAAACAAGCAACATGCTCATTATTAGTAATAGCTGCCGACAATGAAGCTATCAGAGGAATCTATTGAAGAGGTTATCAGGGATACAATCCAATGGCCACAAGATCGGAAGTGGAACTCAACTGACAAGGAGAAGCGAATCAGAGCATTTTTTGGAGCTCCTTGCAAGGTGATTGCGGACATTTGGAACCGAATATGGGAAGGATGTCTCACTGAGGAAGAAAGAACCGAAGTTAATTGCAAACATTTGCTATACGCACTCGTGTTCCTCAAGGTCTACTCCTCAGAAGAGGTTCTTGCCTCTATCGTTGGGTGGCCTTCGAAGACAACGTTTCGAAAATGGGCATGGTTCTTTGTCGACAAAATAAATAACTTAAAGAATGTGATCGATTTAGAGAACAGATTTGAAGGACTTGGAACGAAAACGAGTCAAACTTGTTTGATATCAGTAGATGGAACACATTGCCCAATATTTGAACCCTGGCCATTCGATAAGAAGTACTACTCAGAAAAACTGAATGGACCGGGCTTGACCTATGAAGTTGGCGTTTGTATTGCAACTGGACACATTGTTTGGGTGAATGGACCATATGTTGCAAGCACTAATGATGGAACAATGTTTCGACAGAAACTGACTCACTTGCTCTGTGAAGGTGAAGGAGTAGAAGTGGATGGCGGATACAAAGGGGACGCAAGGATGAAGACACCCCGCATGGGAATGACTTCGAAGATCCGAAAAGAAAAGAGTGTTGTCCGGGGAAGACATGAGAATGTAAATGGAAGACTGAAGCAATTTAATGTGCTAACAACTCATTTTAGACATACAAGTCCAAGGAATAAGATGATGGAAAAGCATGGGAAGTGTTTTCATGCTGTTGCAATAATTACTCAGCTGAAATTCCTTGCCGGAGAGTCCATTTATGATGTTGACTACAATGCAAGCTATTTCTAATCGTCAACATTTCAACTAATTCACTACTGTTATTACTAAGACTAATTCATCGTATCTAAATATTCTTCAAGCTCGTCAAGATATACCTTTGCTTCCATCAGCGTCCTAATTGGATCAATGTCGATACTAGCAGTACTGGACGAGTCCGACAACGAGGAGGAGGCTACACTCGTGCTCTCGTACCCTAGTCAAGACGGCGATGGAGGTAATGGTGGAAGAGGCTCAGCCTGGTGCGTAGAAGACGAGGACAAGGAGGATGAAGCAGCAGCATTAGATGAATCAGTGGGGGTGAGTGGTTGTGTTGTTCTCCTTTTCTTATTTGCAGGACCCTCATGAACACCACCAGACGAGGATGCGGGACGGCGGGTTGGGGTTGACTGTGGAGGCGTCTTCTTCGACTTACTGAATTGAAGGGATGAAGCAGCATTGACCATATTCACCTGCTTTGAAGGAGTCTGCTTTGCCTTCTGCTTCGGCTCTGGTTTTTCTTTCAAAATGACTTGGAGGATTGTCACCTTGTTTCCCTCTTTGTCACACACGATGTTATTAAAGACCTTGACCTCATAGTCTTCTTCGCCAGTCATCATTGGCTTCTTAAAAGTGTAGTTGCCAACATTCCAGATGTCGCCATTCTCATCCTTAAGACCAGCAGCATTCTCACCCATACTGCCAGTGACCTTGTGGCCTTTCGGAAAGCGTTCAGTTACAATAGCGTCTCCGTTTGCATCGGTTCCGACTTGAGTGCTGTCAAGGCTTGTCATCATCAACACCTTCCGCATGAAGGCTGGCCACTTGAGCTTGACCATGAAGGTGTGCTCATCCATCCATTCAAACTCAAAGTCTTCCTTCTTAATTCCACTGTGGAGAAGAACCCTGAGCAAAACGAATCCTTCCTTGTCCTCTGTAACGAAATCAAAATCCATCCAGCGTCCAGAGATATGAGAGTATGCAAGGAAGCCTTGTGCAGTTTGAAAGGTACAGGCATCATCAAGTGATAGCTTTGCGAAGAGGTTGTCTACTCCACCAGAAGCTGATGATGCGACTGATGAGGCGCTTGGGGATGGGGCCCTGATAGAGGTCTTCTTTACCGGTGGTGTTTTGAGAATTGATTTTGGTGGCATCTTCTTTGTTCTTGTCTGTTCGTCGTTGTCTTCTTGTTTCGCTTTTCCGAAACTGCTACTGCTGGGGATTTGGGGGGCTTCAAGGGTGATTCCTTTTGCTGCTAGCTTCTTTGCGAGTGTAGACATAGACTATGGAGGAGGAGGAGGAGGTTAGAAAAGACAACAACAAGATTGGTGAGGGGGGGAACTGCAACTTACCTTTGCTCGGTGCTTGAATTGGTTCTCAGTTAGAGTCGTGAGGATGTATTGCGAGCTGCGATAGTGCTCTACTGATGCTGGCACTGGTTTCTTTGTTGGATCACTGTTCCAACCAATCGCTCCTTGAGTTTGCAAGTGGATGTAAAAGTTATAGCAAATAAGCTTGCTCACTAGCTCTTGTTGTTCGTATTCGACTTCCGGAGGCTTCTTGTTGTTTCGATTGAGGGAGCCCGCTGTTCTCGGCATGATTTCAACATTATGAATGCTTGGCGGAACAAGCAGCAGCTTTCAGCTATTGCTGCTAGCAATCATTGTTGTTGTGTGCTGTTACTCCTGCTGCTACTACTATTAGTAAGAACAACGCGTTACTACTAGTAGTCGTACTAGCTAATCTTGCTTATTCAGTGTGAGGGTCTTCGCTGCTTCTTGCTGTGGCTGCTCCGCGAATATTATGCCTAAAAATACATGTTGAACAGTAGAAGCACTACAATTTCTACGTTTTTCTCGATTTATTCACGATTTATTCCATTTCTATTCTCGGCCGATGCAAGGAAAATATAATAGATCGAGAATAGAACGGGAATAGATCGTGAATAAATCGAGAATAAACAGAGAATTGAAGTGGCTAGTAGCTCCAAAAAATGAGGTTTCACGTCACCAATATAAAATAGCTTAAGTAATTATATTGGTTCATCATGCAGCCGTTAGGTTCTATATATAAAAGATGCGCGAAAGCGCGCGATAGTTGCTTAACTTCCTACGGCTCCTGTTGTTCGAGAAAGATAAATAACGTGTGGCATGAAACTACAGTACTATTGTATTCTTATCGCAATTTAAGAGAACCCTTCAAATATGATTAAAAGTACGTAAGAAGTACTGGTGTTAGTCACTTAGTACTGTTACTTGGTGACAATGTCAATCTGTTCAACCGGATGTACATAAGTAGGCACCAAAAAAAGTGTCAGTTTTACATTTAAGCACGAATTTAGTCCCTTACGTGTTACTGGGAGGTTAGGAAACAGCCTATTTCCACGTATAGTTAGCTACCGGATCCTCGACTAGTTTGACTATTGTAGTTCCTATCTACAGGATTTACMATGTTTCTACCTTTAATCTACCAGAAAAAAGCCAGAATTTTTTAGGTTATTTAAAAATGAATTCCCGTAACCCCCTAAATATCCATTATATCTTCTAAGTCAGTTTCCAGTTGACTCTTCTCAACACTGCTAGTGGTCAACGTGGTCAAACTACTAGTCAAGGATCTGGTAGCTAATACTAACTGGTGSTGCTGTACGTGGTGGTGGAAAAAGCAGGGTCCCTGTCCTTCATACTGCAACGTGTTTGTAGGCCTAGTACTGGGACCAGTTGTGTAAGACCAGTRCGAGATACTGAGAACCAATCCCCCATGGATCTATGGTGCCATGCTACCGACCGGAACAAGAGATCATTGAAATGAATTTTGAGTCCCCAGCCATAAGGAGAAGGGCTCCTACTGACTTATATTGTTTGTTGTTGAGTGGCAACCTCCGTTTCTCATTTTGAACCAAGTGTTGTATATTTTTATTATGATTCATATTTAATTTCAAAAAGGAAGCATGAATTATTAGAACTGTGTTTTAGAAAAAAAGTATTAAGCATGCATGTTTTATCTATCTAAATTAATTATTGCCATCAGCAAAATCAAACCTCCTCTTCTTCTGTTGTCAAACATATTGCCAAATGATCACAGTTATTATTATTGCTATCATCAGGAGTGCAGCCCAGTAATTGCAATGCCTCAGGGATGTAGAGTTTGTGTTGAATTGTTTAAATGGTTACTAGCAGCGCTTGCAGTACTAGGAAGTCACCACCCAGTTCATATTGCATCTGCTCTAGCATCAGGGCTTCCAACTCCAACCCTGTTGCAGGGTTTGATGCAACTCCTTGATTTCTTCACACCACAACCTTGAAAACAACAGTCTCTCCCCTATTGTCCAACCCTCTTTTGTTCTGCTCTCATCATCACAAAATATCTTTACTCTCTCTTTTACACTTGGGTCAACTTTATTTCAAATTTCACCCACATATTGCTATTGCAAAAGCCTCATTGGAGATGGTGAACATGTCACTTATCTTGAGTGTCCCCTCATCCATTCACAGAGGCCAACATATGTGTCAAAAAATAGAAAAGCTCTGGATTGTCTGCATTTCCATATGCCCTATAAGAAAAGTTTAAAATTTTCACTTCTATGCTATTATTCCCCAATCAATGCCTGCCACTGTTTTTCCTGCCTTCTGTAATCCATTACAAAAAAACAGAAGACAAGAAACAGTTTTGGTTAGTTGAMGATACTTGACAAACCTGTTTTATAGCATTTTCTGTGCTGACTTACAAAATCATTTTTCCTTGCCAAACTTTGTGTGTTTTGCTGCAATGTACTTGGTACCTTCAGTAAAACGCTTTTCTCCCAAGTATTGGACAAACTCTTCATCCTTCACTGATTTTTCCTGTACTGCCTGTCTTCTTCAATTGAGAAGTTTGTGTTTCTGAATATATTCTGCCTGATGTACTAGTGYTTTAGGTTGTTTGATATCTGTTGCTTGACATTATTGGGAAGTTTTATCTTGTGTGCCTTAGGAATCGCCAATATGGTCRAACAACTTACTGCTCTTCAAGGAACCCACCAGTATCTCTCCATCTTTCTCTGTCTTCACTGCATCATTTTCCCTTTCAGAGCCTTCCTTTCCTTTTTTAATTGCTCAATTMTTCTTTTTGTCGTCAACCTTCTGGGGACTCCCACCATCACATACAGCAGTACTTATTCTRTCAACTCCTGTGCCCAACACCTCACTACTTCTATTCCTGCCATCTGCATTATCATTATCTGCAATTGGCACTGGAGCTTTCTTTTGCATGGAATTTGTTTGTTTCTTCCCTGATGCTGTTGGTTGCTGCATACTTTTTTCATCTCTACTAAAGACACACACACAATACTAACACACACACACACACACACACACACACACACACACACACACACACACACACACACACACACACACAGCCTAAGGATGTATATCAATACGCTCTTCAGACTCGTCATCCAAAACAAAGGCTGAAATTAAACAGAAGGAGAGCAAAAACCAAAAAGGCAAGGCATCAATCCCAGATGCTTGTGTACAAAGGTCCCAAGGCTTGTGCTTGCCAGCACTGGATGCCAAAGTGCAAGCTCGCAATTGTAAAGGGCAACATGGAGATGAAGTGGTGTACAGGATCAAAGGCACCAGCAAAGGAAGCAGCAAAGCTGATCAAAGAACAGCAAATTGATCCAGGGGTTGGATGGAAGATCCAAATTGTAATGGACGCCTCTGCTCCTCCCCCTGAAGCCCCGGAGCCACCACCACAAGAACTAATAGATGATCCCTCACCACAGGTCCACCAATATGTATTGAATCAAGACTGAAGTGGGTGGAGGATTGAGAATGGAACAGCAAACCTACTTTGTACAGCAAGGAGCTGAAAGAGACCTGGTGTGCTGGTTGTTTACAGAAGACCTGCTTGAAAAAGAAAGATCTTGCAAAGGCCAGCATTGAATTGGCTCAATTTTTAAACCACTGCTTCCTCTAGAGATGAGCATTGGTGATGAACAAGCAAGTGGTTCTTTGAGATCTACCGGACAGAAATGAAGAGAAAAAAAAACTTCACTTCTTGCACTCAATGTGCCAAAGAATTTGCCTTTGATGAGTGGGGACATCCTTTTTACATGGATCAAAGCTTCTCCTTTGATTAAGCAACATTATCAACAACTGCCAACAAAGCAACCAACAAAGCAACCAACACAGCAACCAACAMAGCACCAAACAGAGGAGCAAACAAATGAGCAAACTATCATCCGTATTTAATAATCATTACTACTATTTTGTTTATTACACTGATTCTAATGGTCCAACCACTGYGCTGAACTCAGTACTACTATCTGCAGTTGGTAGAGTTAGTTCACTGTTTATAATAGTGGTTGCATTGGTTCTGCTGGGCAATACACCAACATCATTATCAACATCATTATCATTAGCATCATTATCATCAGCATCATCAACATCAGCATCATCGACRTTGGCATCAGCAGCAGTGTCCTCAACAGCCTTGTCTGCTGCGTCCTCTATATCTATTAAGTGCTTCATATGCTCTGAGTTATCTCTCAGCTCCTCATTGCTTGGAGATACCCCCCAGTGTCTCCTGTCTTTAGTTCTTTTGTCATTCCTTACTCTGTWGCAGTACTAGTCACTTTTTCCAAGCCCAAACCATTTGTGATAGTTATGGAAGTTGCTGTCACAAAACTTGCAAATGGGATCTCCATTGGAATCCCTCTTTTTTGAGTTGCTGACCATGGTACAAATAGGGACTTTGCATAGTTTGCACATGCTGTATGCATTCTCACGACACATGTAACAAATATTTTTGCTCCTTGACTTGGTGTGCACCATTGCCTTCAAATGAGTTGTGTACTGAGTCTGAGTCAAGMAGAATCTACCATTCTCCATGYTTTCTGCAATCATGGTTTGCAAGTTGTGATAACCAAGCAACTTGTTACCATTCTTGAAAAAAGTCTTGCATGTCCTTCTTGTTCTAGTACTAGTAGCCCTCACACTCCTCACCATTTGCCTTGATTGAGTGTACTGTTGCAGACAAGTGTCACAATTATATGCCTGCTCAACTGGGTTGCACCTTATTATCTGCAAAGCAAGCCTTTGGCAGAACTTGCAGTAGCTCATAACRTTGCTTGCCTTCCACTCATAACCAAGGCTACCATCAATACATTCTTTGCAGTAGCAAGGCTTTTGCTGCATGATTAATTGCAGCAGGATAGTACTATTTCCACAATTTGTAACCAATGTTGGCTCTGGAGATGTATGCATTGATATGATCCAGTTTCCAATAAGGATAAAGATAAACTTTGCAAGACTCATTCATTTCAATCCCCCATCTGCGCTTGTCTGTCCCATTTCCCCTTTCCTTCTGATGAATGTTAAGGGAGARGAGGATGAAATAGAGTTCCCTGATCCAAAATTGCAAGCTCCAGTGCTCTTAAATGAACAATGCACTTGTCTGTAGGCTTTGGTTCCTTTGTCAGGATCAGCTGGTACAGTTTTTGCAGCAGTGACAGGCTTAGCAAGATGCGGTGCTGATGTCTTTGCTCTTTGTTCTTCTTATGAAATTACTTCCCAGGAACCTTTGCAGGCAACTTGTTCTTAGCAACAGTTCCCATCGTACCTAATGCTTGCTCACCCATTCAATCCACGATGAAATCTGATTGGAAGAAATTGCCAAAACCTTGAAAGACTGTTGAGTAAATGCTGGACCATTGTTTGTAAAAAATAGAGTATGGTAAACTGTACTGCTATTTTTCAACAGAGACAGTAGTAAAGGATCACAGCAACAAGCTTCATCTCTGCTGGCCTCCACTGACAATTTTGCCAATCAAACAATATGTTCAAGACATTCCTATTTGGAATTCAAATCTGCAATACAGCAAGAAAGTAGGCTCTTCCTCTTTGATTGCAATACAATCAAAAGAAGGCATGGCTTCGTGTCAATATTAATGTCAGTGGTGCAGGGAAATGGTATTTGAGATTCCTGTGGCATTTGAAAAATGACCAGTCACATCTCATGCCTCACCTCATCACCATGCAGCAGCTTAATACAGCTTAATACAACAGCTTGTTGGTGTTGTACTTGATCCTGTCCCTCTCATAAACCAAACGGTGATCTGACAATACTAATATGCATGTGATACCATCTGTATTCACTAATAAGTTTCAACGATCATTCTTAAAATGAGCTCCTCTCATTCCATAGACACAGCAATGTCATATCATCAACCATAATTTATAATTATTTAATTAAGACGAGTACTGCAACATAGAAAATATTTCACGATCAAACTGGGACTCAGACAACTTTTTTCGAAGAGGAGTCTTCGCCGTAGGCTTTGTCCCCCTTCATGGCTAAATTGTTCTCAACGATTTTCTTCAAAGATGACAACGGCTCACCCCTCTTTTTAATGTGCAAGTAATATTGTGCCAACCCATGGGTGGAAGCAGAAACAACCTCATCGGCTCTTCGAAATGGTAGTATTACAATTTGCCACAAGAGCATTCCAACGACAAACAATGCCTCCACATTTTCGGTGAAGTAGTCAAAATATTGTTCGTTTGCGAGATACAGTGTCCCGACTCCCAGGAGAGGAGCCCCAACCATCACCGCTACAGTGCGTTTAAAATCAGCATTAGGTGATCCTGCCATCGTAAGCCACCCAGCCCATGACATCCAGATGATAGCCTTTGACGAAAGGGTTTCGGAAACACGCACCGAAAACTCTATGAAAGATTTCTGGATCTGAATCGGCATGGCATGAAAGAATTCTTTAAAGATAGAAACAGAAAATAGGGAACTCGCGACTGGCCGTACCAACAGATACAATATGACCAATATGATGGGTGCCGTATTGAATACAACCCAAAGAAACGGAAACGTTGTTGAACATAAACCTGACAAAGTGCTCGTTGGAGGAAGTAGGCCAAGCTTTCGCTTGTTCTGTTTATCTGATTTATCCGAATTCCATCGATGAAATATGTCTCTATGGGGTTCTTCTTTGCGAATCCTGCACCAAGAGGGAGACAAGGGAGGGCTGTAAAGATTCAAATGAACGTTGATGCAAGCCGTGTGCCTATATCTTGACAAAGGAGGTGATAGCGGAACGAGATCACGATCATTTGTGAAGCGTAGATGCCGAAGTCGAACAACACCTGCAGCGTACTTCCGGGAGCTCTTGTCTTGCCGATAGTTTTGGAGAACATCAAAAGCTCGCTGGAAACTGATATTACCAACCAAAGGAGAAGCGAACGTAATGCATTTGAATCCCTCAAATGACCTGTTGTTATCATGGACTTCTACATCACAAGCGAGGAAAAAAGCAGCGAGCGTCGACAAGGCTCCTCCCAATGAATGTCCTGTAATATATAGGGAGCTTCTCTGAGTCTGAAACAATAGGAGGAGATCATTTTTAATGCTTTGGTACTTGGAAACATTAACGTTTCTGAAAGAGACTGTACCATTGGTGCTGGCCCTTTTGGTTCGACCACTTTCATCTGTCTTATCTTTCTTTTTCGGTGTTGACGAATTGGTCTTGCCAAATAAATAACTGAGGAAACCTCGATGGACCTTGATCGGGGTATCGCCAATTGCATCTTCTAGCAAAGAAGCTAACTCTTTCTCTATCTCAATTCTACTGTACGTGCACTGCTCGACCAAGAACCATTTTCCAGAATTCTTCTCTTTCTGAATATCGATGTTGACGAGAGGAGCTTKAAGGTTCTGAATCCAATCTTTCAATGTGACAGAGCCACGAAAAATAAGAAACAGATCCGAAAACTTAGTGCCATCTTTCTTCTCTTTTTCTCTTCCAGCAATAGCATGCACTAGATCTGTCTTGTCAGAAATCGCGTCAAACTTGTATAGATAAACTTTATTTTTTTGAACGAATGAATTGCCATAACATCCAGCTCATCAGCACAGGACTCGCTCACTTCTTTGTATTTCTCATTATTCAAAACATGTTCAACTAAATCCATGTTAATATCGGGAATATCAGGTAGGCCATCATGGTTGATATCATTCAGATGGAGCTTTCCCCTCATGAGTTTCGCCATGGATTTGCCTCCGTCCCTTAGTTTTTGGAAAGCTTCAGCATCCCTCAATACCTCGTTGATCAGTTCGGTTCTTGCCTCTGCACCACTACCATATCCCAACTCCTTTGTTCTGGTTCGAATGTCACCCATGTGATATATGAACTGACTGAGGTACAACGTAATGATGACATCAGGAAATCCCTTTTCTTCAACTTCTTTCTCCAAGTCTTTTTCGAGTCGTTGTTTTTCCGTTTCATACGGACTTCTGTATACCATGGTCGACACGTTCCACTAAGGGAATTGCAACTGAATCGTTCTWATTGTTCGCTGAAGGAAGAATAACTTCCAAACTTGATTTGGATTGTAGGGTCCTTTTTAGTTCACTTTTAATGACCACGACACTTTTTTGAAATCAAATGAAATAATTGTGTGGTGTGTTTTGCTCGATTTTAGCGTTCAGTTTGGYACTTTATTAGTGCGGTTCATTCTCTTTTCGGACGGAATCATGAGGTTCCGACTTCAGTCACTACGCAAAAGGTCTCGATTGAACAACACGATCCTTGATAGCTAACGTCATCGATCACAACCTTGTGATTTGTGGTTGATTGAAGCGCAAGATACCATACTAGATAACCAACGTTGTCCACAGTACGAGTATAGTACGGTATGGACATATGGGGTCCTRCGGTATTCATTCTGTTCTTTCCGCCCTTTCGCACCTTCTGCAATGAAGGTTTTATCTAAAGGAGAAAGTTCTTCTGAGTAAAAATTATCAATGATAAAAGAAAATTGCACAGCAATTTTCTTTCATAATCGTACGTACCCTGACGATCAGAATGAGTTTAAAATGTATTTTAAACCGTTCAATTATTGAACCAAATGCCTTGTCAAGATTACGTACCATACTGTAGAACCTCATAAGTAATTAAAAACGAACCTGAACATGACAAATTGAGAGAAACAATTAAATTAGAGTATTGTATGTGCTTCCCATAAACATAAAAATYAATTACGTTGCCAACTGTATGCATTGTACTCAAATGACCTAAAGAGATAATGYAAAGACTTAAGTTTCTAAAATTGATAATTTTGAAACCAGGTCATTTGTTTAATGTACAAACCCGTGCTGTTCGCTCATTGGTTCCTGTTCAAACATACTGTAGTCAATGGACGCTTCAAAAAGTTTCATGTACTGGCTGTTCTAAGGAGTGCTCTCTGAAGTTGATTTACTCGTRGTACATACTCGTACTTTAGTACTACTTCGTAGAAGTAGAGTAATTAATGCAAGCGACAATTTTTAGGTTACGTACTCATACCTTTGGTACGTTATTACCGTACAGTAACGTACGAACCGACACTTCGTTACAKTAAGAATGTACTTCTACTAATAATTWTTGTTTTTAGTCACGCTTGAAGCAAGAGCAAAACGAATTAAATTGAGGAAGTAAAAATCAGAAGAAAAACTTCAAAAACCAAGGAAATGCTTCTCTCGAATTTTCWGTGTCGACGAAAAAAAATGTAGGATCAAGGACCTCTTTACATTATGCTGGAATTTGCGAACGACGCGAACGAGGTTTGCACTGTTCAAGATTCGCTATCATGTTTTCAAACTAGTTTGAACGAAACGACGAGGTAAAACCAAGAGGCTCTCATGGTACAAACCAAGGTATAGGCCACACTTTTTCGACACTGGAAGTAGCGAATAGAGGAGTCATGGGTGGAAGAAAATCACCCAAGCAGAACTGTCATGTCATTTAAAAGTAAACGGAAGAGAAATTTTCCTTTACGTCATTGTGAAGTTGAATGTCTRTTGTTGGCAACACTATTAGCTCTCTACCAAACAACCATGGGAGACAGTAGTATTATACAGAGTGAGGAAAAGACGACGACGATAATGAGACCCAAAACGACGAAAAATAGTTGCGATGCGAGTAGCAAAGCAAACTATCTTTCGTTGTCAAAATTGTTGTTGCGGTCTGCTGGTCTTGTTGCCAATCATTTTCTATCCCAAACCAGTATTGATAGCACCAGTAWYAGCATGAAACACAAGTGTACCCACGGAGCCGATGCGAATAAGTCTGACAGGCTTGCTTCCAACATCAACGAGGAAAGAATGGAGACTGTTTCGGAAGAAAGTATAGACAATAGCATAGCGAACACCGTGAATCCAGGTGTTCTTAAATCGAAAGAAGATCTTTCCTCTATRCTTCTCGAAAATGAAAACGAGTGCGTAAATCATAAGAACTCGAAGAATTACAGCAGCAGCATCGAGGTTCCATCACACTCTCTTCTATCTTCTTCTATATCCGAGTCATCTTATAGCTCATTGTACATCAGCATCCATAACGACAAAAGAAACTTTGAAGACAATGATTCTGCTTCGGGATCATTCAGTGATAGCAACAGCGACAGCGATCCGGAGAATATGATGAAGGAATATGACGATGGTCTCGACATCAACTTTTCTATTGCTCGCAGCCGGATTGCCGATGACGCCGCAAACGAGGCACTCAAGCGTCTAGGAAATTGTGAGTGCTGGACTCTGATCAGTGTCGGGTGCGGYTCCAGTGCAGCCGACGCTATCCACGAACGTGATAGTCGGCCGATTTGGCAACAAGGCTTGAACCAGATCACGGACAGCCGTGCTCTGGCACCGTTCGGAGAATGTGGTCTGCAATTTTCCGTCACGAACGTTCCCAGATGAACTGCAGCTGTTGGATTTGCCATACAGYAAGACCAAAAATCCGGAGAGGATCGCCATGGTAAACAGCACCAAAAGTTCGATTCGAACGGGTCCGAAGACGAGAGAGATRCTATTTATTCAGTGAAGATTTCTGATGATGCAATCGAAAGATGCAATGGGAATGAGGGTGGCAGATTCTGTGACGATGAGGATGTCAACTCAGTCGAAACCTTCGTATCGTTGGCGACAGACGGTGCAAATAAAGAGATCTCCTATGATGAAAGAGGGCACAAGAAAATTGCATACGAGACCTACGAGGGCTAAGAAGGCTGAGACGCAATTGATAGAGATCTAGGCACACGAACCAKTGTAGTAGATGAAGTGGTAGAAGAACAAAATCGTAACGACCTTGAAGACTTTGATGTATTGACCCAAATTACGACATCGATACAGCAAGGGGTTTGTTACAATTAGACCTTGATTATGAAAATACGTGATAAATCCCAAAGCTTGGGTTTAGATGCCAATAAATATGACAAGGGATTCAATAGCAAATATTACAAGCATTTAAACAGTTTTCAATCATTCTTTATGCAGCTAACTTCCACCCACAAAGCCAGAGAAAAGCCCCCCCCCGTCGACGAACCGCGCGACGGTGGCCTGGCCCACCAGCATTCCTTGCAAGAAATAACTTCCCAGGTCTCACGACAGGAAAACAAGTCATTTCGCAGGTACTCTTCCGAGATTCGACGGGGATTGTCCCACGGATCGGGGTTTTCGGTCGAAAAACAACCGATATAGAATCGGCCGGTTGTGGGCTTCAATAATTTTGATATCTGTTGCACATATGAGCTGGCAKCTTCCTCGGACAAGCAATGGAGCAACCCGGAATCTATCACTACGTCGAATAATTTTGGCCCTCCAATTTTGTCGTCTTCCTCGCCGGTTAGACCTTCCAGAAGCTCTGATCCGTGTTTGTCGGCCACCTCCGTACAGGATGCTGCCAAAAACCGTGGTTTCGTCCAAAATGGCGTGGCTGCTGTTGTTTCCCTCTCGTCTTCGAGCGCAACCAAGTCGGAGGCRATCTTCACAGCATCCTCGGACAAGTCGAATCCCGTAACAGAAGATATCCCGAATTTGTGGGCCAGGTAGACGCAGTTCTCGCCGACACCACACCCGGCATCAAGTACGTGCCCTCGGAGCTTCCCCTCTTCGTAGGCACGGACAATTGCTGGCTGGGGTCGATGGTTACCAATATCCCACGGAGTATTCCCTCCGTTCTGGACGGGCTGTTCTTTCCATTGATCAATTTTAAGGCCCTTATAAACCGAGCGATAATATTCCGGCGTCAGAATTCGGTCGGATGGCGATGGTTTGCTGCCTGTATTGACACTACTAGGCGATCCATGCGATCCCGACAGAGCGCAAATTGTTGTCGGAATGAGAAAAATCTGTAGAAACAAGAAGATCATCATCAACGGCACAGCATACAGTGACTCAAGCGCAATTGGTGTCTTTTTGACCGCCATCGTGCCTCACTTTTTCCCTGTCGCATTCGATACGTTATTTCAAATTCAGGGAGAGCGTATCGTACAAAGTTTCTTAAACCCCCTTCTCCTAGAGYTTCATTCTAGCCATCAATGGAAGGACGAGACGGACTTTAATGAGACCTAATGGTYGCCGTGTGATAAGGGCGAGTATGGGCAACATACTTCATTGCGATACCATCCATTGATCACTGAAGAATCTATCGTACACACTTWTGGTCAAAAGTCACATGGTTAGCTCATGCTTTTCACGCGCATTATAACGGTCGGCTAACGGCTAATCCTACTTCGTAGGTACGTGCGTACCGTACGTTACTGTACCAGTACCCTACGCGCAATACACGGGAAGGTCAGTTTTGGAAGAAAAAAATATCTTTTCCTCACGAAACAAGATCTGAATTTTGAATTTTTGGTACCGGTATTTTCAGGTTGTCATTACAGTGCATCATCGTACCGTACGATACCCGTACACACAGTACGTACTTTCCTCACGAATTGTGCTTGTAATTGTAACTTGTCAAGTATTGTACATAATACCACAACTGCGGTATGATTACATCCCTTGCGCCTTTCCTGCTACGCTGGGGAGGTAGTCCTTTACATAGTGCAGTACTTCACTTAACTTGATAATTTTTATCAACACGAATTTAATGGCAGCTAGTGAGGTTCAGGGGGTGTWAGCTGGCAATAAGATTTCTTAGTTTGCCCAAAGCTATTAGAAGAGCAAAAGCTAGTTGTTTCGGTTTACAATCTAGTAATAATGACGGTCTCTATGCCTGTATTAGGGTGATGRGTGCCGACCGGAAACATTATCTTCGCGCACGGAATCTACTGATATTTTGTTGAAAAAATAGTGGAGATTCAAGTGAACTACTAACGTCGAAATTTCGCCAATTAGGACCTTTCACAAACGCGTTTCTTCCRTTGTTTCTGTCTAGAATTTGTAAACCTGTTCCTTTTTGTATCCCATGTCCGCCAACAGCCCCTTGATTTCGTCTTCGCCACGCGGACCACAGAGAGCGCTGTACATTGGCGGTGGTCCGCACACAAAGACAATGACATCGTCGCCGCATTCCGGTCCAAAGGCGGACCCAGCTTCATCTTCAACCAACTCCTTTGTGATGTACCCGATGYGTCCCTTCCAATCGTCGGTAGAAGAAACTTCCGACAACACATGCACGACCTTGAGTTTGTCAGGGTATTCCTTMGCCCAAGAATCRATCAGGGTTCGTCCAAGAATGTCGTCTTCGGTGCGGCTCCCGTAAAACATAACGACCTCGTTGTCGTTATCGCCACCGAGAATAGCGTGCAAWGCCTGAATCATTGGTGTGATACCGGTCCCGCCCACCATCATGATGATCTTCTTTTGCGAAAAGGGGGCCTGCAGCTTGACGTTGAATTCGATGTGCTTGAAGTCGACCGAGTCACCCACTGCTATCGTCTTGCACAGGTGGTTGGACATAACACCACTTTCGCCATAGTCCTTGACCAACAAATCRAAGCAACCTACCAGTTCATTGGTGGAGATGGGTGTATATGGCCTCACGACGTCTTCCTCTTTGCCGTCCTTGTCTTTGATGCTGGCCTTGGCTAGGATGCATGCGCACGTGGAGAGATTCATTGGCAACKTTTTGTCTGGCAATCCGAATCGCAGGACGCTCGATGTCTTGGAWACGGCGATCCTCTCGAGCAGCTCCACGGAGGCCCATTCCGTCGTGAATTGGCACTTGCCAGGTGGCACCAGGGAACTCTGGGGTTTGCCGCTGAGGGACGGAGGGCTGTAGGTTGCTGCGGCGCTCATTGTTGCGAAGGTATTGGAGGCAGAAATGAGCGAGAGGAACAAGAGCGGGGAATAGCTCTTGATTTTCGGGCAGGTTCGTCGCAACTTTGATATCGGTGCGGATGGTGGCACGGACGTCGGTCTCCGGAGGATAGAAGACAGCATACTGTACTTCCGTAGTTCCGCCTTGTGCAGCTCGATGGACGAATCTCGATAATGCCAAAGACGTTACGTTTCTAGAACTCGTGGTACCGTACCGTACGTACACTTCTACGACGACGAGTATGAAAATTGATAGACTGTCGTTGCAACGCAACGCAATGCGACGACGATGGAAGAGAGAAAAAGACAACTCAGTCGGTAGAATGAGTATCTTACGTACGTACCAGCGTACTAGTACGTACGATGTCTCCAGCCACCGAAGTCCGAAGTACTGTATGTTATGGATACGTACGGTAGTACATAGGAGTGGTACAGTACGTATTGCAGGGGTGATGTACGGTTCGTTCCTTACGTACGGTACTCGTACGAACTAACTGTAGTTCATTCTGTAACGGACAACATAACGTACCGTACAACGTAATGGACGATGGACGCACCACCTATCCATACCTACATGCATATCATACATACTATATCAATACTAACATACGCAATGATCATAAGTAATAGTTAAGACCCCTGCATACTGCATACAGTGTGTCTGTAACTACAGTACAGTATTGGAAAATACAAAATACTTCTACAAAATTACGTACTCTTTCTACAGAAGAGAACCTACGTGAGGTACCGTAATACGTAGAGGTAGAAATCGCAATACTGCACTGCCGTCCGGTAAATTAGTCGTGCTTTCTGAAAAAATATCAATCACAATCGATTTTGCACGCCTGCCGGCTTTCCAGATGCCAGAATTCTGGAATGGAATCTTTCGCACACGGTAGGTAGTACGGTACTATGTACGTACTGTAGTGTACTTTGCGAATTAGGTGCTACTAATGGAACGTGCTCATGCTCGTACGAGTCGTCCTCCTTCCAGTTCACGGAGGCCAAGGAAGACGTGCCTTTCGTTATCGAAAGGCATCAGATGTGAAACGGAGCTTGAACCATTCTACGGATATCACATCTTCGAACATACCGCCCTTCGATATCGCCGATCTCGATTCTCTTAAAACAACTGAAACGAAACGAAACGAAACGAATCGAACTGCAATTTTATTCCAAACAAATCATCCATAATACTACTGTGCTTCGACGGACCGACAGAGCAAGATTAATTCTCCCTCTCTACCGGAGCTCAAATAAAAGAAGAAAAAAAGAACTTGCCAATCAAAAGCGAGCAGTGACGTTTATCGACCCAATTAATCCATCAAAACTGAACAAGAAAAAAAACGGGAACATATCCTTGCGAGCAGATCTTTGGCTTCACAACTCATCATATCATTCCTGAGACGAGGCATAATCAAGAATGAGTTGGTTTGGAAACAACAAGGGTGCGTAGATTTGTTGCGTCTTCCCTGTTCATGAATATGACAAGGGACGCCGGGGAATGAAAATAATTTGGCATCGGCAAACTTATTTCATATATATCTTGTTTTCAATTCTCATTTCGTTCACTAATTGTGATGCAATCTGCTATGTGCTGTATTCTGCTCTCCGCATGATAATATTTTGCTGTTGTTGCTTGCAACCAAACCATATAACAACACAGAAATGGCAAATGCTGGATATGCGCAACCGACGGAGGATCTACCCGTAGCGACTCTTGTCACGGATGATGCAGTCGCGACCGAATACCAGCAATTAAATCAGCACCTTAACCAGGCTTCGGCACCTGTGGAACCTGTTGCTACAGCTACCTCCAGCGGAGGAGGCTGCTGTGCCGCCGCCGCCTCCAAACCACCGGCCACAGCTCCCCCCTCTTCCAATTCTTGCACCAACAATTATTTGGACAGTGATCCCACGGTCTCGCGCTTCCCCATGAATATGAGGGAGTGTCCCAACTGCCACCGCGCCTCCAGGACGAGAGTGGTCACCAAGCCCTCGTGCAAAACCTGGGTTGCCTTCGGAATCATGACGGGTGTCTTTTGGCCTCTCTGCTGGGTCCCTCTTGTGTCGGATTCGTGCAAGGAAACGGAACACTTTTGCACCTCGTGCGGAGCCAAGGTGGCCAAGGTCCGTGCCTTTCAGGACTGCTGCGTTGAGCATCGGGGGTGAAACGAAGTGCAATAGAATTATTGCTGTTGTATTTCTTGGTCCACATAAATGTACTAATGTAGAATGAAGTTATAGAATCATTGGGCATTCTTCTAGGAACTTAAGGTCCAAAATGGGCCGAAGGTGTTTCTTTAAAAAATAAGATCAACACCAAGAGCACTGAATAATGGTATGGAAAGGAAGAGGGAGTAGAAGAAAATGAAACAGCATCATGTCCTTTTCTTGGTATTAGTACTGTAGTAGTACTAGTAGTAGTGGATTCAATGGATTTGGTGTGCTTTCAACACAAGAGACGAGCCATTATGGCAAAGATTCCTTCATTCACACCACCATGGTGAGTGAGTAAGGAATTCCTTGTGGCATACTAGTACTACTACTAGTAGTAGTAGTCCTAATACTACTACTACTCTACTACTACTACTACTACTACTACTACTACTACTACTACTACTACTACTACTACTACTACTACTGTCATACTAGTAGTAGTACTACTACTACTACTTTTGCACCTTCACCAGTGGCACCACCAGACCAGTACCACAGCACAACTTATCAGAAATTTACAGCTCTGACAGCTTCTACAGCTTTTCCTACCAGTACTGGGACCAGTGCACATGCAAACACCTCAGAAAATTACTTNACAACTTATCAGAAATTTACAGCTCTGACAGCTTCTACAGCTTTTCCTACCAGTACTGGGACCAGTGCACATGCAAACACCTCAGAAAATTACTTGTCCAACATGGCCAAGTTATTTTCTGATGGACACTCCACTAGTACTACCCACCAGACCAGCAGCAGTACCAACCATGCGTGCTCATCCAGTTCATCTTCATCTTCAGATGCCACCACCATCTGCCCCACACGGGTCACCTTTACCAGCGACAGCAAGGCCCTCATCACTAGAATCCAATCCAGATGTGGCTATGTGGAAGTCTATGCAAATGCCAAGATGGCACCAGACTTTGACTTGATTGAACAGATCTTTCAAACCATTCAGACTCCATCCATCACTTGCTCCTGCCCATCCCATGCTCACCTATTCCCAGAGGATATGGAAACCTTCTTATCAACTACACCTACTTCCATGCTCACATATTACCATTGAGTCTAAAAGAAAACAATTCTGGCCAGTGTCAGCAAAGCGGCGCTTGCCTCTGTCTCCAACACTTGCCCTATTACTCAGTACTTTCCACATTTGCCTCATAGTAAACAATCACCGGAGAGCATTGTTGTTGTTGTTTCCGGCATTTGTGCCAGAAAGCAACAACACCAACCCCAGCCCCCAGTATTCAACCAAGACCTATTGAAGAACAACGCCTGGAGTATATGCTACATACGTACTCTAAAGAAGATTCCCTAGCATCTCCTCCATGCAAACTCAACTTTATTCTTTACGGACTGGAAGGAGATTCCATTCATGATGTTGTTGTTTCTGACATTCGTGCCGGAGAGCAACATCACCAACCCCAGCCCCCAATATTCAACCAAGACCTATTGAAGAACAAAGCCTGGAGTATATGCTACATAAGTACTCTGAAGAAGATTCTCTACTAGCATCTCCATGCAAACTCAACTGTGATTCTGGTCACGATGTTGTTGTTTCCAGCATTCGTGCTGGAGAGCAACAACACCAACCCCAGCCCCAATATTCAACTAATTGAAGAACAAAGCTTGGAGTTTATGCTTCATGCATACTCTAAAGAAGATTCCCCAGCATTTCCATGCAGTTCCAGTATTTTACTTACCAGAACCAGTGCTTTCTGGTCACGACATTGTTGTTGTTGTTGTTCACGGTATCCGTGCCAGACAATAACAAAAACCCCAGCCCCCAGTATTCAACCAAGACCAATCCTATGATATTCTCCCCCAGTTGAGTGCAGTTGTCTCAGCCGGATCCATCCCCAGTTCTCAAGGACCAGACACACCAGCAGTTTTCTGGTCATGATTGTTGTTGGTTCCGACTTTCATGCTGGAAAGCAACAACCCCAACCCCACCCCCCAGTATTCAATCCAGACTGATCCTGAAGAACAATGCTAGGAGTATATGCTACACGTACTCAGTTTCAAGATCCCCAGCCTTCTCTCCTTGCAATTCCAGTTCTAATTACGGACCAGAAGCGTTTTCCGGTCATATTGTTGTTGATTCCAACATTTTTGCCGGAAGCCAACAACAACATCCCCAGCTGATACTGCATCAGTATCACTCCCGGTACTACTATTCCCCCAGTTGTGCTTTGCCTCAGCTGGATCCATCCCCAGTTCTCAAGGACCGAAAGTGTGCTTCTGGTCACGATTGCTGTTGTTTCCAACCTCCATGCCGGGAAGCAACAGCACCAACCCCAGTATTCAATCAAGACCTTCATACTGCATTGATCAATCAGTATTTTTCCCAGTACTATTCCTCCCAGTTGAGTGTAATTTGCCTCAGCCGGATCCATCCTCAGTTCTCAAGGACGGCTGGAAGCCCCAGTGCTTCCGGTCATGATTGTTGTTGTTCCTGTCTTATGTGGTGGACAGAAACAGCAACACCCCCAAGTGTTTAACCCCATGACTAGCAGTGACAGAATTGATTTCTTTCCAGTTTCTTCTTCAAGAAGATGCTCCAACAGCTGCTCCTTTGGACGGGCTCACCAGCTGTAATTTGGTGAAAGAAGTGTGATGTTTCCTTTTTTTACTTTCTTTTTTATTTTTGACTACATGTGTCCTCGCCCACTGGGGTGAGACTTGCCTTAATTGGCTTGGCAGTGTGCGTGGCACAGATTTCCTTGATCACTGTGTGTGGCAACTTGCCTATGGGTTGGGGCTTGAGCACCCCCAACCTCCGGGCTTGGCAGTGCCCCTTTGAAATGATAATGGCATGGTTCTCATCCATCCAAACTGTGAACCAACTGCTTTTATGTCCTCTGAGTCCAGCCTTGGGC